CGAAATGATGTTTAAAAAATAACGTTTTATTGTTTTCTATTTATTGTGTTTCATTTTATCCCTGATGAAGGCAGCTGAGTTACACACCTGCAAAATGCGTCAGCTCTATAAACAGTTTCAGTGTGCAGAAGCCGCCAGCCCAATATTCAATGCTGTATATCTACACCGCCGCCAGACTATGGGATCATAAGGACTTCGGGGTCCCAGAACCCTTTCCCAAGCTTGCTATTGTTATCTGTGTCCCTACTCTGGAGTTTCACCCTCTCTATTTCTCCTGGTGTCACCGGAACAGGAAGTGACGGGAAAATCCAAAATGTTACAGTTGTCACTAGAATGGGAATAAAGGGGAAATATTCCAATGGGAACACCGGGCTTTTTTCTCACTTCCTGTTGTGTCTCCTGGACAGGAAGTGAAGGGAAAATTCCTCAGTAGGGACACATCAATCAATGAATCAATCAATAAATACATTTGAATCGCTTTTGACAATGTGATTGTATACATTTGTGGAATTTATAAAAATAAATACATATTCTTTAAAAATAAATAAATATTCTTAAAAAAATCTTTAAAAATAAATTATTCTTTAAAAAAAAGACTAAATAAATGAATAAATACATAAATGTATAAATAAATAAATAAATGAAAGAATTAATAAATAAATAAATAATTAAAGCAAGTTCTAACAAATCCCTCCTCCTTCTTGATTTTCCTCAATGCATTGGAATGGGGGATCTCCGTATGTACAGAACACGAGCAGGTAACGACCTCTAATACAGTTTGCTATATTACTTACAATGTATCCTGAGGGGGGACTTTTTTTTTTTTTGCTTTTTTAAATTTGTTTTTATTCATTATTTATTTGTTTTTATGACTATAAAGGGGAAAATATGAGTCTAATTTAACCACTCGCCACACTTGATCAGATCTGAATTTTTGGCTAGAAAAAAAGCTTCAAACCCCCCAAAATATAATATGTTTTCTGAAAGCAAAGCAGAGGCCCTGTAAAATCAAAAAATGCTAGTTGCAATTTGTTACGCCGCACGGTATTTGCGCAAATGTTTATCGAACCAGTATTTTTAGTAGTCCCGGACGCTCTGGGAGTCTCCCGCTATTAGATAGCGGCTCCCGGCCGCCCGGGAGAGAAACACTTTCTCCCTGAAAAGTTTACTGTGCTTTATCTAGCAGAGTAAACCTTTCCCTGCTCTGTTGTTTGTTTTTTTCTTCTGACATCGGAGCCGCCGGTGCCGTCAGTCAGAAAAAAATAACATAGCTACATTCCTATTGGCTATTTCACTTTTGCAATAGCAAACTAGCGCCCACTGCTGCTGTCAATCAGCAGAGGGGACCTGAAGTTCTCCATCAGGTCCCCTTCTAGTGATTGACAGCAGCAGAGGGCGAGTGCAATAGCCAGCTTGCTATTGGATATTGCAAATTGAAATAGCCAATAGGAACGGTGTTCGGCTCACTTCACTTCGGGTCGGTTATTCACTCGTCTGCCTACGGCAGTTTTGTGAATAGGCCCCATAATGATATAATACACTGGCATTTAACACATCCAACATGCAATTCTCATATGAATATTTTTTTTTTCTCCAATTTGTTGTTTGTTTTAGTTTTTTGTTTCTGCAAAACTAAAGTTTTATTTCTACTTAAATATTTATAATATTTATACTTACTATACTATATATATATACTATATCT